CCCGGCTGAAGGAAAGGAAGAGAGAGAGACTCATGTACGCCGTGTATCTATTTGCAGACACAGATAAACACGGACAGGATACCAACACTCCGATACACCGGGACAGAGCGAGAGTGTTCTTATAGTGGAACTTATTGATCCAACAAAACTCATTTCAAGATACAGTGCGAAGTCTCCAAGATACTGCTCTCTCCTACTTCTCTCTCTCTTTCTCTCTCTCTCTCTCTCTCGCTCTCTCTGTCTCGGTCTGCTTCTCCACCTCTTTCTCACTCTCCCTCTCTCCTCACACTCTTCTGTCTCTCCCCCGATTCCTTCCTCCTTCGTCCAGCACCTCGACGCCGTTCGACGCCCCCGTCCACGCGACAGCTCTCCTCCCTCTCGTCTTGTACACCCAGGACGCTCTCTGTACACGTGCACGGGGGCCGATTAATGAATCTGCAGAGGGGGGCTGGACTCTCGGTTTCTTTCACGTTTCTTCCCCTTCATTTTCTGCGTTTTTCGCGCGAGATACGGCGACGAGCTCGCACGCGATTTTTGGAGCACGCTGGAATCGGAGTTTTGTGGTTTTGGACCACTTTGGAGGAAGGGGCCAGGTAGAAACCTGTGAGTGTTACGTTTCGTTGGGCTGAAATCTACGAGTGATTTTTGAAATCGGAATTGTATTTTATTATATGCTTCGTTGATAAAATACAAGCACCATGCAATGCACATTTTAATCTCTTATGCACATTAAATTGGATTTGCCCGAGCAATGTTATTTATTGTACACATGATATGTGGGCCTTAATTAGACTCCGAATCTTTGTGTAAAGTGAGTATTTTCTGCGTCGCTTGCGGTCACGAGTTAAATGGAGCTTTTTAACTTCCTTTTAATCGTTTTAATTATTAAGAAATATCACGGCAAATGTGCTTCACTGTGTACTTCAGATACTCATTGTTCTTCTAATGCATCAAACGCGAAATCTAGATATAATATTATATTAGAATATTATTTCTAGTCAAATACGGATAGATCAGAATAAGATTTGCAAGAGAATTGAAATGAATAGTTTAAAAGATTCGCTGGAATCAGAATAAAAAAGATAGTAATTCTGAAAAATAATATCAAAGATCGCAGAATTTTTGTTTTAAGGTGTTATATATAAGTGAAGTCTTCAAAAATAGAAAACACATTTTGTGGTTTTTAATTAATTGTTGGGTCCTTGGTAATACAAGTTTTCCATAATCCAATGAATATGTGAGTTTATTCTTTCTAGCTTAATTATTGCTCTGATAGCATGAAAAATTGATTTAACATTTACAGTCTTTTCGAAAAGCACTTCTTCACCTAAGTACCTTGGAAACTTACGCGATATAAACTGCAGTACCTCAGGATCAGTGATATTAAAACTGACTGAAAGTTGCACGCGCACCAACGTTGGGTTAGTTAAGTAAACCTAAGGAAGGGGGAGGGCCATGACCTTGCGAGCAAGCAAGCTGGCATGTCTTCCTGTTCACTGCACTCTTGCCGTTGTAACAATATGGAATTCAACCCATTTACCAAGCTCAACGAATCGTAAATTTTTACAATGTTCGTATAGTTAACAAAAATTATATAATTAGTAGATTCCTAATGAAGTTAACGGTGCTCATTTGTTTCTGGGTCTGTACAACCAATTATCAAAATTATTTTCCTAGACTATTTCAATTTTAATTTTAATGAATGAATGTAAACTAGAAGTCTCGTTGGAAGTATTGTTTTAAATAATTTATTACCACATTGTTCGAAACATTAAGAAATATAACCTTATTTAAGAAAGATAATAGATTTTGTTAAGAAGTAATAATGAGATTAAAGTTTCATTAGAAACACGTGATTTATTTCCTTACCGATCTATTATTGAAAACACTGAGCAACAAAAACGCTGTGCAACAAACGAAAATGAAAATCATTTCTAAAAAGTACTTAATAGCAATTTTGTCAAACATTTCGCTACTATACGACTTTTACTTGATAGAGCAACATCCTATTCTTTACCTAACAATTTCCAAAAGCGGTGGAAAAATCCAAAAAAAAGTTCATCGGTCTGAAACGAGTGCGAATTTGCATGAAAGCATTGGAACGATCATTTTCAAGGGCACCGCTGTGGAAGGAGAAGAAAAGAACCTGTTCAGTGTTAATTCGACGCTCCCTTGTTTCGTATCAACACACAATCACAGCGTCGACGGAGAATCACTGGCATGGGCAGGATCTTCGCCGGAAAAGTTAATAATCAGCCCCGACGCGTGACCTTGTACTCCGTTTTCCCCTCGCCGCTTTCACCGCTCGTCCGAAATCCAAAGTTTCTCGGCAACTCGACACTGCAAGCAATTTCGGCGCGGAGGAATCCCCTCCCCTCGACCAAGCGTCCTACTCGCCTAACCCTGTGCCGTAGCAGTAAAGGAAAGTGCATAAAGCTGTAGAGTGTCTCCACTTGGAAGGTGGTGCTTGTACCTCGGGCTGTCTTTTCTTGACGGGGTGGAGACGAGGGAGAAAGAGNTTGCCGTTGTAACAATATGGAATTCAACCCATTTACCAAGCTCAACGAATCGTAAATTTTTACAATGTTCGTATAGTTAACAAAAATTATATAATTAGTAGATTCCTAATGAAGTTAACGGTGCTCATTTGTTTCTGGGTCTGTACAACCAATTATCAAAATTATTTTCCTAGACTATTTCAATTTTAATTTTAATGAATGAATGTAAACTAGAAGTCTCGTTGGAAGTATTGTTTTAAATAATTTATTACCACATTGTTCGAAACATTAAGAAATATAACCTTATTTAAGAAAGATAATAGATTTTGTTAAGAAGTAATAATGAGATTAAAGTTTCATTAGAAACACGTGATTTATTTCCTTACCGATCTATTATTGAAAACACTGAGCAACAAAAACGCTGTGCAACAAACGAAAATGAAAATCATTTCTAAAAAGTACTTAATAGCAATTTTGTCAAACATTTCGCTACTATACGACTTTTACTTGATAGAGCAACATCCTATTCTTTACCTAACAATTTCCAAAAGCGGTGGAAAAATCCAAAAAAAAGTTCATCGGTCTGAAACGAGTGCGAATTTGCATGAAAGCATTGGAACGATCATTTTCAAGGGCACCGCTGTGGAAGGAGAAGAAAAGAACCTGTTCAGTGTTAATTCGACGCTCCCTTGTTTCGTATCAACACACAATCACAGCGTCGACGGAGAATCACTGGCATGGGCAGGATCTTCGCCGGAAAAGTTAATAATCAGCCCCGACGCGTGACCTTGTACTCCGTTTTCCCCTCGCCGCTTTCACCGCTCGTCCGAAATCCAAAGTTTCTCGGCAACTCGACACTGCAAGCAATTTCGGCGCGGAGGAATCCCCTCCCCTCGACCAAGCGTCCTACTCGCCTAACCCTGTGCCGTAGCAGTAAAGGAAAGTGCATAAAGCTGTAGAGTGTCTCCACTTGGAAGGTGGTGCTTGTACCTCGGGCTGTCTTTTCTTGACGGGGTGGAGACGAGGGAGAAAGAGAGAGAGGGAGAAAGAGAGAGAGAGAGAGAGAGAGAGAGAGAGAGAGGACAATTCGGTGCGAACGTTTCGCTCGGTAAAGAAATGCCGCGGATCTTTATTTGCGGCGTTGCACTAGCCACCCCCTGCGCACTACCTTTCATTCGGTATCGCCCAGTTCGCCTTTTAATTAAAATTTCAACAGCGAAAGGTGTCACCGGGCTTGGCGATACGGGATAAAGAGAAGTGGCCCACGAAGTTTTATAGAGTCACCTGGAGGACTCGGCCTGAGTTTATTATCCCGCGCATGACCATGGACCCTGGCGACCTAGGGGTGCGTAAGAATACTCTCTCTCTCTCTCTCTCTCTCTCTCTCTGTACGGGTAAACAGATGAACTGACTCGCGATTGCGTGAAACTTCTGATGGTGTATATCTGATAGTATTGAAGAGAATAGATGGACGATGTGTTCAGGATAGCAGAGTCTTAATTCTAAATATACTCAAGATGTTAGACTAGTTGTTCCTAAGGAGAAAAAACGTCAACGTGACGGGTTGGTTGCTTTCTTTTAAAGAGAGAATATTTCGTCAAAGATGTGGCTATCTGTTGAGCTTCACTGTTTCATACACCAAGCGTACTATAATTATTGTACAACAAGTATAGAAAAATCGATTAGGCTCGGAAAGCAATCGTTACGAGTCCCTGAGCACAGATATATTGGCAATAAAGAATTCCTCAAACGGCAGAAAGAAATTACACTGATAAGCTCCTGAGCCCTCGAAATGCTTATAGACTTTGAAAGAGCACTTCTGTACCGAAGTATCCCGGAGGCTGATATGAATCGCAGTGGCCCGGGATCAGCGCATGACCATGGACCCCGGTGACCCCAGGGGTGCGTAACAATATCCCCGCCGAACGGATAAACAAATGAAGGAACTTACGATTGCGTAAAACTGCGAAGTGCCTGTGGTTTGTTTGTCGGCGGGAGCGTTCTCGTGGCGAAGACCCGGGTAGCGAGTGCGTGAACAGGCCAACAGCGGCGAAGAACGAGGAAGATAGAGCGGGAGAGGCATAGAGCGCGACAGAGAAAGAGCGAGTGAGAGAGGGAACGGGAGAGAGTCTGTCGGAGTTGAGAAGGAGAACGCCGGTGAGAGGGGTGGCCGAGGAGAGACGGGTTTAGGTAGGCGAGTCGCGAAGGATGGGTGAAGAGGACGCGGAGGGAGGCACAGCCGTAGAAGGAGGAGAAGGTGGAAGAGGTAGAGAAGGTTGGAAAGGGGGTGGAAGGGGCGGAAGACCACGAATGTCGGGGGGAAAAGAGGGAAAGAGGAGGCGGGCGAGAGAGGAACGGCCAGGAGAGGGAACGAGTCGGAGGAGATAGATGTATGTAGGAGGGCCGCTCGATACAGCCCCAGCAACCCCCTCTTCCACCCCCTCCCGAAGCCAAGCATCGCATCGCGAGGTTAAAGTGAGAAAAGTCAACCCCAGTCACTCGCCGAGTTCTCTTACGCTGGAATATCGAGAGGGTAGCCGCGACTCCGATCTGGATCGACCCTGGACCGATCGTCTGGAGAAGGTAACTACCCTCCCATACTTTTTGGTACCACTTTCGTTCGGATCGCCCCGACACTCGAACACATCCTTCAACATTCGATAAATTCTCATCGTCTCAAACGTCGAGTAGGCAGAGTTAAGAGGTTGGGCAACTGGAAGGGGTAACTGCTCTCTGTACTTTCTGGTACCGGTCACTCGAGTCGTCTTTACACCTGGATACTCGAACGCGTGATCGTGTGATCAATCCTTTTGCGGATAGAGCGAAATGTCTTGGACGTTGTCAGGGTAGACGAGGTCTGAACAGGATAAGCAGGAAGCATCTTTGCATTTTCACCTCAATACTTAAGGATATAGGTAGGACTTTCTCGAAAGCGGATAAATGTCTTGATATAAAGCAAATTGTTTTCATTCCAATTATGGAGACGGTAGACAGGTCACCATCAAGAAGGATGACCTTCCGATACTTTTAGCATCGTTTGTCCAGATCGTCTCTATTACTTGATTGGATCGCTTGCCAGTAAATGGATGTCCGAATAAATCGATATCGTTCAAATATCTGACGCCTCCATCGAATGGAGATGAGCACCCGAAGAAGTCGAAGCTGTCCATGATTTTCAGTTCTCAAACATCGAAAAAGCTTCAAATAGACGAGCTTGTGGGGCATACAGGAGAAGACGGGGCGCGATTTAACGGCTGAAAACGATCGCAGCTTCGAGCCGAACTCGTGAAGGTTTCGCGGGAGTAACCGGAACGCGAGCTAGCAGTCAGTAGGTGGATGCAGTCCCCGTCAGGCTATCACGCCGCCACTTATCGAGAGACTTTTAAACCCACTTTTCCGAGTTGGCTGCCTTTCAAAATTCGAGTCGAGAGGCGTTCTCTCGCTGGCAGGTCTCTGCCAGCAGGAGACCTGCCGGGTTGTCACTTGGCTGGTTATCCAGGCACTTCCATGCCCGGCCACGCGGATACGAGTGCATAAACATGCGAGCGAACGCCATCCTAGCTAAAGAGTACCTTTATCTCTATCCAGCCGCTCCTGCCCCCACTGCGTCCCCCTGTCCCCTTCGCCGCCCACCCCCCGTCGGCCCCGTGGTCCTTCTCTTTTCCTTTCAGCCGGCTCGGCCTCTCTTTCGTCCTGTCCCTTTCTCGTTTGCCTATCCTCCCCGCGCTCTCGTCCTCCTGCCACCCTCCGAACACCCAGGCATTCTCCTCGTGTGACGCTGTCGTGGGTGGAGGACAGGGAGCAGGAGGCGACGGCGGAGGACGAGGAGGAGGAAGAGGAGGAAGCTCACGTAGGTTACTCCTTTCTGCCGGCAGAGGATATTGTGATTTTAGCGTCTGTGTAATTATGGAAATTAGCGACATGGAAAGCCTAGGATAAAAGGGTTGATTATAATCCGGCCGCGGGGGTGAGCACCGACCTCCAACGTCCCGCTCCTCCTACCGACCATAGATTAAAACGCTCCTTCTACGCTAGCGCCTTTGCTTCCACCGACTACCCCTATCCGACGTCCTCCCACCGCCACCCCTCGGCCATCCTGCGCCATTCACTCTCGCAGCGTCACCCCCTGTCCCATTCTCTGGCATCTCAATTTTTCTCCCGATCGTGTGTCCATCCTATGAGTACGACAGATAAGGTCTGCCACGGTCCGAGTCATCCCCGGGATGACTCCGTTCACCCGGAAGCTCGGGAATAAAGTGCCAAGTGGTTAACGTTGAACTTGGCTTCGTCGGAAGCACCTCCTTAGCCGAGTAAAACTACTGATCAGCTTACAAGGAAACTTGTGAACTTCCCATCCGGGGGAGAAAGTTTGATGTCCTCGACTCAGCGTTTGACACCCCGAAGCGTTGGTCCATCGATGATTGTGGATTTTATGGAGGAGGTAGCCTCCGGGAGGACACGGGTTAGAAGAAAAAATGGCGCGGCCAACGAGGAATTGTTTTCCACCAGGCTTGGGTGCAATTGTCCCCCGACCTGTAACGGTTTCTCTTTTACCCCCTCGTGTCGCCACGACATTGGCGCGGGTGTTCCTCTCCCTCCGGCGTGTTCATCCCTTTCCGTGCATCCCCTCCCTCCCCCGGGCCATGGTCTCCTCTCTCCTCGCCGCTTTTTCCCATCTGGCTATTGGACTCTACCTTTGGGTGTTTCGGCGCGGCGGCGACGGCAGCGGCGGGCAGGAACCTATGATGCGATCGGATATCGAATATCGGCTGGCTCTCTGATTGGTCGTTCTACCGCGCACGGTCGCAGCCGGAGCGCGCCAGTTACGACTGATTTGTTACGTAAAAACGTCGATACCTTCTATACCCTCTCTTGTCCCACCCCCGGCGCCGCCACGCTCCCTCCACTCTCCTTCCGGCCGCCCGGCCGCCCCGGCCGCCCCTACCTCGCCACCCCCGGAGACACGCTCTTCCCGCCACCTTGTTCTCTCCTTCCTTCTTTCACGGCCACCCTTCGCCCGACCGGTCTGGCCACCCCTTCGACGGTCCTCGTCATGCCGCCACCGCCCCCAACGGCACCGCGCGCGATAGACGAAGGAATGGAAGAGAGAAAGGAAGAGAACTCGTCTTTTTTATCGGCGCTGTGCGCCACTGCCTCCTCGTTCGGTCGGGCATGAACGCATTATCGGAGCAATGGCTGGTCCACCGCGCTGCCGATTCTGATCAACCTTTCCATGTTCCTTCAATCATTGAAAAGTACCGACAAATGACTGATTTTATGCGGATGTTGTTGGCAATTTGCATCGCGTTGTAGGGAAATTTGTGCAATGACTCGCCACCCTCACCTGATCGCGCCGCAGATTCTAAACAAATTTTCTTAGGTCTTTCGATAATTGAAAGATCCTAACAAGTTACTAAATGTTTTCTTTGTGGTTACATTTTAATGCGGGGAAATTGATATTGAATGAGGATGTTTTGTTTAGTGATATTTTAGGAGTTAATGTTAAAAAGGAGTGCATTCAGTTTATCAACTTATTTTAGTATATTAATTTTATGACTTTTGGTTTTTAGTTTGTAATCTATCTTTTTGGTTTGTAATGTAATGTTGTGCTTTAAATTCATTCATTTTATCAGGTAAAATCAGAACCAGATCTTTCAAAATAAATTTTGAAGACTTCTTCTACCATATTGCAAGTGACACCAAAGAATTTCTTCAAACTTCTATAATTATTTTTAAAATGATCTGAATAACTCTTTCGTTAATCATTTTTGAAATGAATGTTGTTAATCTGTTCTATTTATTCCCTCCTTGAAACATTAATAATATTTGTTGCAAACTCAATAAGAAATACTATAATTTGAATGATATAGTAATCCCTGTCCACACATACTATTCCATAATATACCATGAGTCTCCTTTGTTTCCTTGGTTCTCTGACCAGAACCGTCCACGTGTACTTAACCAATAAATTCTTTATCGCGCGATTGCACTCGGTTAAACCGATTGATAATTCTTGTTTAACTCTTCCACTCTCGGTAATTCCAAGGCAAAATTATTATAAGTTAGAAGTAAATTTACTTTGAAGAGGTTAAAGGAGGTCGACCGCGACGTCAAGATATCGCAGGAGGAAATCGATAGCCGGAGGTGTCTGATGGAGTTCAGGGTCACTTCTATTTTCCTAAGCATCACCAACAGTGCGGTTGCAACCCTGTTTGTCTCCGTACCAATATTTCGCGTTCTCTACACAATCAATCTACATGTCAATGTATGCAGCCCAAAGAAGCGTAGAAATTTGTTTAAACAAAGAAGTCAGAGTTCTAATTTAATCAAAACCAACTTGCGTCAATGTGGCAGATGGTCTACGATATTTTATATTATCTTATCTCAGTGTAGAACTGTTGCGGAACGTTTCCTTTTAAAATTGGAAGTTAACGACTCCTCGGACAGACCAAAAAAGCAAGAAATAGGAACAATAAACAACATCCGCGTACTTGACGGCAAAACGACCAGGTTTCCAGCGCAAGAATGAGTCTTTGGCCCGTAATTATCGATTTCGGGTGGCCCGAAACACTTTCGACTGGATATCCGCTGGTTCGAGGCCGGGCCCGTTCCAGTTCACCGTATCGCTGGAACATTTCCGAGACGCAAGAAGGCTCGCGGCTTCGAATATTCGTATCACGGCGGAGGCAAACAGCCGCGTTACGTAGCCGCCGCGCGCGCTGACCGTATTGTAGAAGCGTATTCAATGGCCGGCCGCCATTTAACACCCCGGCAAGCCGCGAAGTTTCCTGCAATGAAAGCACCGGCGCGGAACCTATTGTGAAAATATCTGACCACTGTCCGGTGCAATGAGGTATGGCTGACCCCGGGGCCGGCGGGTCGGACCTCGGGTACAATGCACGCGCGTGCTAGTGGCCGCTCGTTGCGAAAATATTTCACGCGGCCGCTGCTAAAGGGACATAAACGCACTTAACGACAGTTCCATGTCACCGAGCCGAGCGCCCGTTCCACGTTCCGCTCGGTTTTAACGACGCGGATCGACGCCCCTGTTCCGTGTCGGCATCCTGCATTTTCCTAAGAAAAAATCAACTCTTCCGGTCCTGTTGAAACAAATTTCAAAAATCGAGATGATCAGCTGGATAAGAAGTTCGCGTAGACGCAATGCTCTGAATCTGGATCTGGTTCTGAGTCTGGACCCTGGTCTTGTATCGGGTGTTGCAATAGTCGCAATTGCTTCGTCTGTTACCTGATTCAATTTTTCAAAATAGAACAGAAAAAATTAAGTAACTAATTATAATAAGTTTCTCGGATAGAGTGAGCAATGCAGACGCGGCAACTTGGGTACATCTTTATAGACCGCAAATCTATTTTTTAATTGGTTCCACAAATGGTAAGAAAAAAAAAGGAAATAATGCAATTCATCACGAAAATCGAACGATATGGATATGACAAATTGATCGTCACGATAGTTTAAAAGTTACTTGAGCACCCGTCTAGTCTTCAATTTTACATTTAGAGCTGTCAAAGTCCCACTTTTTACGATGTGTTTCAATCCTTAATTGTGCCGACCGATGACAAGAAGA